ACGCGGGACTTGATCCCGGGACTCCTGGATCATGACCTGAGCCGAAGGCAGTTGCTCAACCAACTGAGCCACCCAGGCGCCCTAATTTATGTATTTTAGAGAGAGTGGGGGCGGGGGGCAGGGGGCAGAGGGAGAGAATCCCAAGCAGACTCCACTCAGCGCGGAGCCCGACGCGGGGCTCTATCCCATGACCCAGAGATCATGACCTGAGCCAAAATCAAGAGTCGGACAACCCACTGAGCCACCCAGGTGCTCCATTGCGCGAGTTATTAAAACCTTGGTCTGAATAAGTCCACACTTAGGCTCTTAACCTCTGCTCCACCCCAGCCGGATCAGGACATGGATGTGTCCCAGAACTCAGGGGCATCTGGACTGGGAGCACCCTGGCCAGGTCCTGGCCGTGGACTCAGGATTTTTGGCCCACACAGGGGTTTGTTTTTATTTTGAATAAGGTACCAACATTCAAAACTTGAGAGATTCCACATGAACGTCTGTGTCTTTGTCTTGCGAAGTGTCGGGCGGTCTAGCAGCCCAAGCCTTCCCTCCCACGTGGAAGCAGTCGTTTGAACTGGGAGGCAGCTGTCTCTTCTCATTTGGCTTTGCTCACCACTCGTTCCGTGCCAGGCCCTGGCGGCGTCTGGGTTGGCCACCCTGCAGCCAGCCACAGGTGGCCGTGCTCTGAGTTTTCGTTACAGCGTTTCCCCTAATTGTTTAGGAACCGAAATGAGTTTAAACAAGAGATTGGGCCAGAAGTGGTTTTCCCGATAGGTTCCGTGGCCCTGGGTTTACAGGCAAGTCTGCTGCCCCCTCGTCCATTTCATCACGACTCTGAGGATCGTCTCTGGCAAACCCAGTTCAGAAGGGCAGCGGCGTGATGGAGAGAGAAGTGGCAGGAAGGAGAAGTAGAGCTCCCTGGGCGTGTTCCGGTAGCCGGCCATTCCCCATGGGGCACGGACGGCCACCTCACTACCCAGTGGCTTTTGTAGTTCTGTGACTTAGGAAGAAGGGCCCCTCCTGTAGTCCACTGGCCGTTGTCGTGCTATCCAGAAAGCCTGTCGGCTTAAGTCAAATTAGAGTTTGTGTACCGCTCAGGATGTACTCATTACAAATGTGACGCTCACGAGAGCCAGACCTCGGTCTTGGCCCTGGGGACACAGCGAGGAATAAGGCCTAGGCATCCCGTGCCCGTCGAGGGCTCATCTAGCAGGAGAAACAAATCAAAGCAACACATAAACACGGCCTGCTGGTTCTGCAGAGATCGGGCAGGGGCCTTAAAACCTTACAGTAAGAGTTCCCGGGGAGCGAGACGAGCCTGGCACAGGCGGAGCATGAGGGAGCACGTGGCCCTGTGGCGGGGAGCAGACGGGGTGGTCACGGAAGGTGAGGCTGGAAAGATGATTGGAGCCCAGCTGCAGGGCCTGGCACGCTGGCCTGAGGGGTTTGGGGGTGGGCCTGCGGCTCGCAGAGAGCCTTAAGATTTCTGAGGAAAGGAGCAAAGAGCTGCATTTCTTAAAAACGTTAGCGGCATCGTTGAGACATAATTCACGTACTGATTTAAGACGTTCAGTATAGTCACAAAATCACGCAGCTATCACCTTACTTAATTCTAGAACGTTTTCACCGCCTCAGAAAGAAATGCCATACCCCTTGGCAGTCTCACCCCATTCCCGCTCCCCTCCATCCCTCCAGCCCTGGGCAACCACTAATCTCTCTGACTCAGTAGATTGGCATGTTTTACACAGTTTGAATACGTAGAATGATAAAGCGAGCGGCCTTTTGTAACGGATTCTTTCACTTCGCGAGTTCTCAAGGCTCGTCCACATTGTAGCGCGAGTCAGTACTTGCTTCCTTTCCGTTCCCTGTACTGTTCCATTGTGTGCAGAGACCACAGTTTATCCATTCATCAGTTGGTGGAATTCAGGGCATTTCTGGTTTGGGGCAATTGTGAATAATGTTGCAGCGCACATTTATATACAGGTTTGTGGGTGGACGGGTTTGCGGTTCCCCTGCGTAGATACCTAGGAGAAGAATTGCTGGGTCCTGTGGTCACTCTTGTGTTTACCTTTTGAGGAACCTCCGGACCGATCTCCACGGCGGCTGCCCCATTTCACGTTCCACCGGCCACGTGTGAGGGTTCAGGTTTCTCTGAGTTCTCACCAACATTTGTTCTCTGCTTTTTGGTGATGCTTCACACCAAGTGGGTGGGAAGTGTGGTATTTCTTTGATGACAGAGCTCCGTTTGCAAAGATCCCTTTGGCCACGGCATGAGAAGTGGGTTGGGTGGAGGACGCGACCAGAAGGGTGGAGACTGAGCACTTTGCCCTGATGCAGAGGACGTGATGTGGGCTCCAGCCGTGGCTCTGCCACGTGGAGCAGAGGAGAAGGACTTAGAGGGGTCTCAAAGCTGGCGTGGGCCTGATGCAAGTGCAGGTGTCTTACCGAGAATGAGGAGTCCAGGCAGGGGAAAGGTGCCTGTGGGACAGCGGGGGGATGTCTGCATCACGCTGAGTAACCGGAAGTGGCTTTCAGGGACCGACGCCACTCACGCGGAGCACATCGAGACAATCAAAGCCCGGATGTATGTCGGGCTCACGGCAGACAAGCGGTTTCTCCCAGGGCATCTGGGCATGGGGCTCGTGGAAGGTAAGCGAGAGGAGTTCGAGGTGGGTGGTCGCAGAGCCGAGCGGCTGAAGCCCCCGTGGGTGCCGTGTGGGGCCCCTTGGAACACTGCTCTTCTCCCTGCAGGTTATGACTCCATGGGCTATGAGATGTCCAAGCCTGACCTCCGGGCCGAGCTGGAAGCTGACTTGAAGCTGATCTGTGAAGGCAAGAAGGACAAGTGGGTGGTTCTAAGGCAGCAAGTCCAGAAATACAAGCAGGTTTTCATCGAAGCAGTGGCCAAAGCTAAGAAGTGAGTCCAGACCCTACTTGCCTGCATGTGAAGTCATTTAGTTCTGCCTCCTGGGCTGTGACCTTTCCCTGAGCAGTGAGAGCGGGGGAAGATTCAGCAGAAAGCAGGGGGTGTGCCTCCTTGCTCCTCGTAACGTGTGCCTGCGGGTGCTTAAACGTCCCCCAGGCCAGTTCGCCTTCTGCAGGGGTGTTGTGCTTGGCAGGGCTGTTCACATGCAGCTCCTCCCCCTTCGGGTTTTCCTCCTGAGTTCTGTTCCTTCTGTAGAGCTTTGTCAGCCTAGAAACAGTAAGCAGAAAAATCTGGGCCAGTTATTCCAGGCTGTTGGCTTTAGAGATGCCATTCTCTGGATTTTAATTCTGTCTCAAGTTAACAGGCACACAATCCCTTGTCCGTAAATTCAGTGCTGCTGTCTGACACATTTGTTCTATGGAGTATTTGGAGGTGGTCACGTAGCAAGCAGTATGTGGGCATGTTGTTAGGAAAATACACCTTTTCTGCCTCTCGGGAAAGAAATGGATGAGCCGGGGCGCCTGGCTGGCTTTAGTCGGTAGAGCATGTAACTCTAGATCTCGGGATTGAGTTCAAGCCCCGTGTTGGGTGTAGAGATTACTTAAATTTATTTTTAGAGAGAGAGTGTGCTCAAGTGCGCATGCAAGTTGGGGGAAGGACAGAAGGAGAGAGAGAATTTTAAGCAGACTCCGTGCTGAGCGCAGAACCTGACACGGGGCTCAATCCCACAACCCTGAGATCATGACCTGAGCCTTAAAAAAAGGCCAGGGAAGGGAACAGATGAGCTAGTTTAAATGTAAACCCAGACAGACACTTCTGGAGTGTGTGCAGGGACCCTGTGCAGTTTGATATGAGGCCAGTGACAAGGCAGAAGTACCTGCCTGTAGCTGGATCCCTCCTGGGAGCTGCTGGGAGCCAGAGAGGAGCCAGGGCTGCTTGGCCAACCTCTGTTCTCTGCATCAGGCCTGTGGTGAGCAGCCCCCTGTGCCCCGGTCACATTCACCTTGTGTGCACATAAGAATATTGTAGGGGAGGCGCCTGGGTGGCTCAGTCGTTAAGCGTCTGCCTTCGGCTCAGGTCATGATCCCAGGGTCCTGGGATCGAGGCCCGCATCGGGCTCCCTGCTCCGCGGGAAGCCTGCTTCTCCCTCTTCCACTCCCCCTGCTTGTGTTCCCTCTCTCGCTGTGTCTCTGTCAAATAAATAAATTAAAAAAAAAAAAAAAAGAATATTGTAGGGGGTTGGCGCCTGGGTGGCTCAGTCAGTTGGGCGGCTGCCTTCAGCTCGGGTCATGATCCCAGGGTCCCTGGGTCCCGGGATCAAGTCCCGCATTGGGCTCCTTGCTCAGCAGGGAGCCTGCTTCTCCCCTGCCTGCCGTTCCCCCTGCTTGTGCTTGCTCTCTGTCTCTCTTGCTCTGTGTCAAATAAATTAAGTTAAATTAAATTAAATTAAATTAAAATATTGTAAGGATACCTGGGGGGCTCAGTCGGTTAAGCGTCTGCCTTCGCCTCGGGTCATAAAGGCAGACGCTTAACCAACTGAGCCACCCAGGCGTCCCGATAAATAAAATCTTTAAAAAAAAAAAACAAAAAACAATATTGTGAATGTTTTGCTCTTTCTTCAGATTGGATGAGGCGTTAGCCCAGTACTTTGGGGAAGGGGCAGAGGTGGCCCAGCAAGAAGCCATCTACCCGAGCATGCCAGAGCCCATCAAGAAGTGTCCACAGTGCAACAAGGACATGGTCCTCAAGACCAAGAAGAATGGCGGGTCAGTGCCCTACTTGCACCATACATCTGCTTACCCAGCACTTGCTGGGTTGGCTGGACACTCTCTGCAAGGCCCTGTCATTGCATTTCTGCATCATTATTTAAAGGCGGTCCTACTGTTGCCGACCCCTGGACCAGGTATTGGAGATAGAATGGTAGCTGACAGGGACCTGGCCTTGGAGATGTGAAGTGCTCTGGGATTCAGAGGAGGTGGGGGATGATGGCGCCACCATGTCCCTTGTGGATAGGACATCACCCACCCACCGTGTGGATGATGGTGGGGAAGCAGGAGCTGAGGAACCAGCTGGGTCTGAGTTCAAATCCCACTTCTGTCACTTACACAAGTTTTGTGCCCCAAAAAAGGTTACGTTAGCTACTGAGCCCTAGTTTTCTTTTCCATAAGCCTAGATCAGTGGTATCTACCGTGGGAAGAGTGAGGATTTGGTGAAATGTCTCCAAAGTCCAGCCCTGGGGTCAGGAAAAGCAGAATTTGATCCCAGGTCCTTCATTCCTCCGACCCCCGTGGGTTCCCCAACTACTGACCCATCCCTGGCCCGGGCACAGAGAAGGCCAGCCTGGCTCTCAGAAACCAGAGGTTAATGGGCCTGATCTGGGACTTGGGTTGCCCACAAACACAGAAGCCAGTGCCAGGGTGGGCTTAGCCCAGTGCGGGATACTCTCAAATGCTCCAAGTGCTTGGGTCACCCGGGGAGGTCTAGAGATCGTCCTGTGGAATTTACCACCCCAAGGGTTATCTGACAGTTTCCATTTCTGAGTTTGTGGATTTGCTATTTCAATAATTGGGGTTTGAGGTTTGGTTGGTTGGCTTTCCCCTGATCCAGTCATACCCAGGCATACCCAGAGGACGTCATACCCAGGCATGCTCAGAGGACGTTGTAAATTGTGTTCCCATTGGCTTTTCTGGCTCTAAAGTTCCGTGACTGGAAGCCGTAAAGAACTGTTGGCCAACGACGTGGTGCAGGTGTCAGGAGTAAAGACTCTTTCATCAGACAGCTAGGGTTCTCTTCCCAGCGCCCCCACTCACTGCACGTGCATCCTTGGGCAGGTTTCCAGACCGCCCCCTGCCTGTTTGCCCCACTGTGAACTGAGGCTGCTGCTGGTCCCCATCAGGGTTGTTGTGTGGAGAACTCAGGGAGCATCTAAGAGCACGCAGCCTGGAGCCTGAGCGGAGCCTGAGCGGAGCCTGAGCGGAGGCTGAGCGGAGCCTCGGGACTGGTCCTTGCCGTGGCCCAGGAGTTGGTCAGTGGGTTGGTGGTTTCTAAGTAGAAAGCAGAGTTGGCAATAGCAGTTTCTTTTTCTTAGGGAGATGAGAAATAAATGCAGGCCAGTTTTTCTCAGTCATTCAGTACCAGCGACTGTGTATCCATTTACATGTCCTCCAGAAAAGTGAATGTCTCCTTTAATCAGCCGGAGAAAATCTTCTTTGCCAGATGGACAACAGCCCAGGAATGTGTATTTCCTGCAGTCTGGTGGCTTCTGCCCGACCCTGCTCCCTGTGCTCCCTCTCCAGGTTCTACCTCAGCTGCACGGGCTTCCCAGAATGCCGATCGGCCGTGTGGTTCCCGGACTCTGTGCTGGAGGCCAGCAGGGACGGGAGTGTGTGTCCAGTGTGTCAGCCGCACCCTGTTTACAGGTGAGCTGGGCCCCTGTGAGGCTGGGGCGTGCTCGCCCTGCTCAGCAGCCGCTGGGTTGGTAGTCCTGAATCGGCTTGTGTCCCACCCTTGCCTTTGGGGTGTAGAAGCCACGGGCCTGGGGGCAGGTTCCGGGGCAGCTTGGGAGGACCCCTCCATGCACCTGAAGAACCATGAAGGCACCCTTTCCCTGCCCATTCCCACTAGATTGCTGCCCAGCAGAGTGCGGGGAAGTGAATATTCCAGTGTCGGATAGCGTTTCCAAGCTCCTCCAAAAGCCCAGAGCCCTTAGGTAGAACTGGTCCTCAAACCTTTTGGTCAGAGGACCCCTACACTCTTAAAAATCATTGAGGAAGGCACCCAAAGAGCATTCATTGTGGGTTAAGTTTATCAGTATTACCATATTCTGAATTGAAGTGGAGACGTTTTAAAAATGTACTTGTTAATTTTACAATAGATACACTGCATGCTAAGATAAATAGCATATTTTCACATATTTGTAAAGCAAAAAGGTAAGAAGAAAATGCCTATTTGCAAAGCAGAAAACAGAAAGAAAATGCATTGTTTTCCATTTTTGTGAGTCTAACATCTGGCTCGATAGAGCTGGACTCTGGTGCCTGCTCCCAGTCAGTCTGCGGGGCTGGTTGTGTGGGCTGTAGCCTCTGGCAAACTCATGCACACGACGTGGGAGGACGAGCGCACAACAGACGTAACTTCCTAGCCTTGTTACGAAATAGTTCTGACCTCACCAGCAGTGTCTAGGGGCCCAAGAACCACTGGTTATAAGAGGTGAACCTTTCCAAGGTTTCTGTGTTTTTGTTTTTTAAGGTTTTATTTATTTATTTGAGAGGGAGCGAGAGCATGAGCAGAGGGGAGGGGCAGAGGAAGAGGGAGAAGCAGGCTCCCCACTGAGCAGGGAGCCCGACATCGGGTTCGATCCCAGGACTCTGGGATCATGACCTGAGCCGAAGGCAGACGCTTAACCGATTGAGCCACCCAGCCACCATGCAGCTTCTGTGTTTGGGAGATTAATCGGGGTTTCAGATTTCTTCTGTCTCCCACTCTGAGCTCTCATGACACCCAGAGGGGCTTGTGGCTGGCAGGTGCCTAGCGCGGGCTCCTGAGGTGTGGGGGTGCCGAGGGGAGGCCCAGGGTGGGCGCAGCCCTCTGCAGACGAGGAGGAGACGTTTGCAGCTAGTAGTAAGGCTTTCTCTCATCTTCTGGCCTCGCTAGGTTGAAGTTAAAGTTTAAACGTGGCAGCCTTCCCCCAACCATGCCCCTGGAGTTTGTCGGCTGCATCGGTGGATGCGACGAGACGCTGCGGGAGATCTTGGACCTGAGGTTCTCACGGGGGCCCCCCAGACCTTCCCAGCCAGCCAGTCAGCCCTCTAACTACCTGCAGGCTAGCCAGTCCCTGAATAGAATGGCCAGCGCCCCCCAGATGCTGCCCCCATCCGCCACCGCCGCCGCCACTGCCGCCGGGGGCAGCAACTCGGTGACCTGCAACTGCGGCCAGGAGGCCGTGCTGCTCACCGTGCGGAAGGAGGGCCCCAACCAGGGCCGCCAGTTCTATAAGTGCAATGGCAATGGCTGCAGCTTCTTCCTGTGGGCCGACAGCAGCCCCTCGGCAGCCGGGGGGCTGCCCTCCTCCACGTCGAGACCCACTGGCGGCTTGCTGGGCCGTCCGCCTGCCACGGGGGACCGCCGGGGCGGGTCCGGCCGACCCGGAGATGAGGATGGCGGCGGGGGCATGTCCTGCCTGTGCAGCCAGCCCGCTGTCACCCGCACCGTGCAGAAGGACGGGCCCAACAAGGGCCGCCAGTTCCACACGTGCGCCAAGCCCAGAGAGCAGCAGTGTGGCTTCTTCCAGTGGGTGGACGAGAACGTGGCCCCAGGTGAGGTGGGGCACCCGGGCCCGGGCTCGGGTTTGTGGGGTGGTCTCCACCTCGGAGACCCGGGGCGGCAGAGGGAGGGAGGAGGGTAGTGGTGGGGCCTGGAGGTTCCAGAGGAAAGGCTGGTGCAGCTCTCGGAGCAGCCCGCTGCATGCCCGGCGCTGTGCTAAGTACACCGTCTGTCTTCACGTCTGTCAGCTGAGCCCTGTGAGGCCGCGGAGGCCCAGGTTAAAGGAGCTGCGCCTGCTCGGGCTCACACAGCCACGCAGCCCGAGGTCGGCCTGACCCCACAGCCCTGGGCTCCTCTAGCCTCTGGAGGCTCGCGAGGTCCTCGTCATCGGCCACCTTTCTTCAAATGTGGAGCCTGGCCCCGGGGATGTCTAGGAACCCGCTTAGGCTTACACGGCTTGGGCCCGGTGCCCCGAAACCGGGTGTGGTGAGAATTGCCCCCCAGACATTGGAGCCAGGTGGATAATGCCCCCGGAGGCCCCTGGAAACGGCCCCCGCCGCCCCAGTGCACAGCAGAAGCTTAGCTCATGTGCGAGCATGGCCGAAAGGCCTGGTGGGAGCTCTGTTGTCGGGCAGAGCCAGGCCCCAAGCCTGCCTGTGGAACCTTGAGCAGAGGGCTTGGCCTCACAGCCTCCTGGTTTCCTCAGTAAGATGGGCACTTGCTCTCCTTTCTTGGGGTTCCTGTCTCGTAAAAGAGTTAGGTAGTCTCAGCCTATGATTCTGACACACGGGGTTGCCAGCTCGCACGTACCGGAAGAACCCAGAAGGCTCGGTAAGGCGCCAGGCTGGCTACCGGTGGCGGAGGGGGGCCGGAGACGGCCACTACAGCAACAGGCTCATGCTGGAAGTGTGTGAGGAGCGGTGGTCCAGCCCTGCACACGCTTCAGGCGTGCAAAGGTCCCTTGTCGCCCTGTTGGAAGGAAGCGGTGTCTGACCTCCAGGCCAGCTGATCAGTTGTCCTGGGCGCCAAGGCAGTCAGAATTAAGAGGCCTGTTTGAGGCCTGGAAGAATCCAGAACTCAGTTAACTTGCGTGGGAGGTGGGGAGCAGGTGGTTGGTCACGGGCCTGCCGGGTTTCGCTGCTTCTCCAGCAGCCTCAGGCCCATTGGCTGGACCTCTGCTTCCGAAAGGAGGACATGCGTGAAGTGACCACAGTGCCCTTTTCATCAGGATAGTGATTGTGGGCCCAGGCCTTCAAGGGCTCTGGGTTCTTCAGGGAGTGGCCTTGGGGCCACGGAAGATGACAGGAGGGAAGGGAGCCTGGCCTGGCGGTGGACGCGGCCGTGCAAGGCTGGGGGGACACCCTCCACCAAACACTCGGACCTGGACTTCCTGCTTCTTCGGTGTGTCTGTTCCGAACTCAGCCTTTCCCTAATTCTTCCTACAGGGACTTTCGGAGCCCTGACCTGGCCAAGAGGCAAAGAAATAACCCAGGGGCCAGAGGCCAGAAGCAAAAGAGCCCGGGCCAGTTCCACAGACACGGGGTCCATGCCCAAGAAACCCCGGAAATGCAGCCTTTGCCACCAGCCTGGACACACCCGTCCCTTCTGTCCCCAGAACAGATGAGGCAGGGGAGGAGAGGGAGGACTGCTTCCTCAGACCTGCCCCTTTCTTCTCAGGAATAAGCTGTTTTCACTAGGACCCACCCTACCCTGGAGGCCTTGAGGAAAGCGGTGGCTTTTGGAGCCTGGCCTAGCTGGGCTCAGCAGTCAGGATCCACACCGCTGTCAGGAGAAGTCCATCTCGGGTGGACAGTAACCCCCGGCCTGGGCCTTCTCGCTGCTGGTGCTACGGAGCATTTAGCAGCGGGGTGGGCGCATCCTGCGCTGTGGCGTCCGGGGCTTTCTTCCCTTCTGAAAGTCCCCACGAGGGACCGGCACTCCTGGTCCAGGCTCCGGGCAGCCTGCACGGGGCTCCGCTCGCAGACGTTCTGAGAAAAGAGGTTGTAATGCAACAACGTGGCTCTTGTTCTAAAATTGTGTCTATCGAAGAAGCTTTGTCTTTATCGAGACGCCACTGTGGCCGGGACACCCCACGGCTCGTGTGCCTTAATAAAGAACCCTGTCCCTCTGCTCTGGTGGGTGTGGTGCACTGGTGACCAGTGGCAGAAGTGGCGGGCTCGGACCCCAACCAGGGCTTGAGGGACCTCTCGCTGACCTCTGGCCCTCCTGGCCTCTCCTCCCAGCCCCACGAGCAGCTTGCCCCGCAGAGCAGAGCAGAGAGGCCATACGAGATGCAGAATGCTTCCGCTCTGTGTGGGGGTGGCCTCGTCCCTTGTTGTGTCTTTACAAAACCCTGTGAATGATACGTAACCACGTGCCTTTATTTAGGAGATAAGCCGGAACCGGTGTGAGTTGCCAGGAGTTGCATTGTTGGCTGGTGAAGAAACGAACAGTCCTCACTCTTGGACTCCTGGCCCCATACCCTCCAGTTACACCAGTTGCTCCTGGAGCATCTGAACGGCGGGGTGGGTCACGGCCCTGCCTTTGTGTTTTCATCCCCAGCCCCCCAGCCCTTGGCAACCACCAGTCTACTTTCTGTCTTGGTGGCTTTACCCGTTTGGAACAGTCCATGTAAATGGAATCACAGAGCCTGTGACCTACCATCTGGCTTCTCTGCCTTCGCGTATCGTCTGCAAGGCTCACACACAAGCGTGCATCAGCATGTGACTCGTCCGTGTGACTGATACTCCATCCTGTGGATGAACCACATCATGTCCATCCGGTCAGCTGATGGGCATTTGCGTTGTTCCCACATTTTGGCTGTTGGGAACGGGGCTCATAGAAACTCACGTACAAGATTTGAACACCTGTCTTCAATTCTTTGGGGTACATACCTGGGACCAGGTCTGCCGGCTCTTATGGGAATTCTGGGTGACCTGTTTTCCCCAGCAGCTGCCCTGTTTCTCGTTCCCACCAGCAACTCGTGAGGGCTCTCCACCTCCTCGCGAATGCGTATTTTCCTTTATTTATTTTTATTAATGGCCATCCTAAGGGGTATGAAGTGTTCTCTCATTGTGGTTCTGACTCGCATTTTCCTTTTTCTTTTTAAGATTTTATTTATGAGAGAGAGCAGAAGCGGGGGGAGTGGCAGGCAGGGGAGAGGGAGAAGCAGGCTCCCCACTGAGCGGGGAGCCTGATGTGGGGCTCGATCCCAGGACCCTGGGATCACAACCCGAGCCAAAGGCAGACGCCCAACGACTGAGCCACCCAGGCGCCCCATGACTCGCATTTTCCTAATGACAATAGATGCTGAGCATCTTTTCACGTGCCTGTGGGCCACTTGCGTATCTTTGGAGAAATATCTGAGTCTTTAGCCCATTTTTCAAGTGGGTTTTGTTGTTGAGCTATAGGAGTTCCTTAGAGTTTCTGGATTTTAGACGAATTTGTGGATTTTAATCTTTCCACAGGTAGCTCCCGTGTGTGCCAAGACCAAAAGCTACTCGGGTGGATTGTACCAAGGTCAGACCTGGCTCGGGTCCTGGCTCTCCCTGGGTTTGCGCCTTAACCGCTGAGCCTGAGCGGCCCCATTTGTAACAGGCTCTTTGGCGGAAGGTTACGGCCAGCCCGGCTGGCAGTGAGAACTTCCCGAGCAGAACCCGTGAGGGAGTTTTCCAGGGGTCTCGATGGCCCGCTCAGACTAACAGCATTCAGGTGATGAGAAATTGAACTTTCCCCACCTAACTGTGACTGGAAAGGTGTCAACCCCTGAAATGACCCCCATCTGCAGCTTGTGCAGTGCAGGACCGAGGTGAAAACGACCCCAACTTACTGAGCGCTAGGCCAGGTGGGTCATCCACTTTTCTCATCCAGCCTCCCCACAAGGCAGCGCCTGCGACCCATCTGCTAGTGGACGAGGCTCAGACAGGGAAATGCTTTCCCCTCTAAGCGGCCAAGCTGGAATTGGAGTCCGCCGCCATGCCTACACCTCGAAGCTCTGGGAGTATCCACGCTGAGGTCAGAGCCCAATCGAACGCGCTCGAGAGTCTGGCCTTCCCACCAGCCTGAAGGCCCGGCCCCATGAACTAAGTCGTCTCAGGAAATCGGCAGCCATGCAGAAAGGGCCCAAAACAGCCTCCCCAGAGCCATTCCTGTTGGTCTCTGGAATACACCCTGGGCCTCGTCCGCTGCAGCCTTATTAGCTTCCTCCGTGATCGAGTGCCTCCAAATTGTAATGGTGCTGGGTTGTTTTTATTGTAATATCTTTATTTTTCTGATTACAAAAGTATACTTCTGAAAAATGCCAATGTGTAAGCCATCGGTGCTGGACCAGGTTGAGGGCCCTCGTTTTAGGGAGAACAGGACAGAGGTAGAGCAGTGGCCTCGGACTGCAGGCTGCTGGGTGAGGCTTCCAGTCCCCACCCTGGCCCCTGGGCCCCGCGCCCTCCTGGGCCCCGGCAGCCACATAAATGGCCAGCCACCTAAGTCTCCATCTGAAGGGGAAGGGCCAAAACTCAGGAAGTCCTTTCCTCATCCGCCTCAGACACCAGCTCAGAGGCACCTATTCTCCTGGTAGATTCTGGCTGCTGAGGCAACCAGGTGGCTCCTCGGCTGACTCCAGGGAGTCAGCCCGACGGGGCGCGCTCCAGGGAGGTGTGGCGAGCCAGAGACAGCAGGCACAGCTCCCGGGGGTGTGCCTCAATTTCCACTATCCGCTCCAAATCATAAAGTCTGCGGAAAGGGGGTTAGGAGCCCGCAGCCATGGGGCAGTGGGGCCAGGGTGGGGGTGTATGTGCGCACCCCTGGGCTCCCGCCTCCCAGACACACCTGCTTGTCCCTTCCTGCCCACCCGGGGCTCTGGGCCGGTTTTCTGGCCTGCTAACCAAAGTCCTTCCAGAATGCAGTTTGGCAAGCTCCTTCAGGGTCGGAACACTGAATACTTTCCACTCCCAGGAATGTTCTGTGCCACAGTGTGCATGCGCAAAGACTTTCTTCAGGGTGTGTTGGCTTAAGTAGTTTTCCCCCTGCTTATCTTTGGGGGATATGTCCCGAGATCCCCAGTGGATGCCTAAAACCACAGATAGTACCGAGCCCTACATACAGTTTTACTCTATCTTTTCCTATACCTACATATGAATGAGAGAGTTTAATTTCTAAATTAGGCACAGTAAGAAATTCACAATAACTAATAATAGAACTGTAACAATATATTGGCATAAAACGTACGTAAGTGTGGTCTCTGCCTCTCAAAACTACCTTACTGTACCCGCCCTTCTTGTGGGGACGTGAGGTGGTTCAATGCCTATGGGATGACATCAGGAGAATGATGTGAGCGTTGTGACCCAGCGTGAGGCTGCTGTGGGCATGATAGGATCATCTGCTTCTGGTCTGCAGTTGGCCATGCAGAACTGAAACCGCAGGGGCGCCTGGGTGGCTCGGATGGTTAAGTGTCTGCCTTCAGCTCAGGTCATGGTTAAGTGTCTGCCTTCGGCTCGGGTCATGATCCCAGGGTCCTGGGATCGAGCCCCGCATTGGGCTCCCTGCTAGGCGGGGAGCCTGCTTCTCCCTCTGCCTCTGCCTCTCTCTCTTTCTGACTCTCATGAATAAATAAATAAAACATTAAAAAAAAAAAAAAAAGGAACTAGGGCGCCTGGGTGGCTCAGTTGGTTAAACGACTGCCTTCAGCTCAGGTCATGATCCTGGAGTCCTGGGATCGAGTCCCACATCGGGCTCGCTGCTCGGCGGGGAGTCTGCTTCTCCCTCTGACCCTCTTCCCTTTCGTGCTCTCATTCTCTCTCTCTCAAATAAATAAAATAAAAATTAAAAAAAACTGAAACCGCAGATAAGGGGGACTGCCATCATAGCAAAGATTGGGACAACCGGGCAGGCCAGCTCTAGGGAATGAACGGTACCCCCACTTGAGAGATTATCCTACAGCTAAGTGTTCCTGAAGAGAAGGGCCTACAAGTGGGTTTACAGAAAGGAAGCATTTTATATATGGTAAGATTAATTTTAGAGTTATGTTAGGGTAGAAGTGATAGCGGTGGATATTTTACATTAGTAAGTTTCTATTTGCCATGGGGGGGGGTGTCTTTTATCTGCACCGGCGATCCCTTTGTTCTGAGCAGGGGACATCTCTGCCATACCACAGTCATCCGAACTCCTGGCTTTGGGTCACTTGGTAAGGCTAAACCGAGGACACGGCCTGCTTCTGCCACCGGGCCCAGAGTCCGAGTATGAAGACATTTAGACCCCAGGCTGAGACAAGTGACTTGGAACTGTCCTTGCATTAAAGGGGCAAATGAAACTGAAGAGTAGCCACTCTGGGCGCTGAATGGGCCAGCCCAGCACACAAGGCCCCGAAAAGCCTCCTAGCAAAATAATGATTTGTTTCCAATTCTCTGGCTAGAAACTGGAGTCCCAGACGTTAACCTTGGGTAGATGATGTAACCAGGAGCGCCTCCTTTCTCTCCCTTTTAATTCATCCTGATTTTGTCTTACCGAAATGGTGGTGTGAGAACTTCGGAGCCACCTGAAGCACGCAGCCTCCACAGAGGGGACCGCGTGTTGGGGTTTGGCCATCTAAGAAGAGGGGCTGTGGACCCAGCTGGGCTTCCAGACTGCTGCCCCCCAGCCGTGCCCAGCCAGCCCTTCAGCAGGGGTCCCGAGGAGCCCGCCCTTGGTCAGACGCAGGCCTGGCACCGGGCGCCCCTTGCCAAGCTCGGGCTTTGTGAGTGAGGCTGGTCAGTGGGGGAGGCAGCAGGGGCCCACAGTGGGGCTCGGGGGTGGTTTCCTTTGTGCCAGGCGCTGAGCTAACACTGCACACCCGCATTTATCCCGTTCAGCTGCCTGAGAGGTTGCTATTACACAATCCCCCATTTTCCTGACAAGAACACCGAGGCCCCGCCTGGTCTGCCTCCAGGCCGTTCCCTTGCCCACACTCGGCCACCACCACGACAGGTGCTCAAAGCTCCCTGTGCACCAGTCCCCAAGCCAAGTGATCTGAACGGACCTCGGCGAAGCCAGTTCCCCGCCCTTTGACCCTCACCACAGCCTCTCTCTGGAGCCACCCAGCTGTCTGAATGCCCCTGAGGCAGAGCCCTCATGACCTCCGGGGCAGCCCCCGGTCCTGCATCCAGAGGTGCACATACGCAGCTCATGGGTCCCAGGTGCTGGCCCTCAAACGAGGGAGGACACTGATCCTGCTCCTTGTCCTGGACTCACTGCTCAAAGGCGTGGGGGTTGCCTCAGGAAACAGGACGGGATGGGAACAGCAGCTGTAGTGACACTCATGACCCAGGGCCCTCCCCAGGCCCCACTTGTCATCTGTGGTGACAGAGGAAGTGAGCCCCAGCCATGGCTCCTGTGGGGACCCTGACATGCTCTCACTTCCCTGTCTGGGGTGGTGGGGGGAGGGGGGCTGTCCCCCACTTGTGGAGCCACCAGGAGGCAAGGGGGTAGAGACATCACAGTTCTCTTAACACTGACGTGCTGGCCGAGGGGCTCGGGGTCAGCCCTACCCACCACAGAAAGCACGGTGGGGGCTTGACAGTTGAGACCTCGGCGGGGTGGGGGGGGGGATGTCCCTCACTCATGGGTTCCCGTCACTAAAGTGAAACATCACACCGGGAATCCTGTAATACTCTCTCCACATGCTCTACTTTTCCAGTTAAACCCTAACTCCTCCAGGCTGATCCCAAGACCCCTGGCCAAGCTTCCAGAACTTTGTGTAACAGCCCAGCCCAAATCACACAGACGTCTTGAGTTTTCCCTTTTATTCTTATTCACGTTCTTTGAGGCACAGCTTTGCTTCAGCAAGATACCAAAGCCAGGAGGGATGCCTGGGAAGTGAGGCAGAACCCCCTCCCCACCGGGGCTGGCTTCAGTGAGAACTCAGGCGGCCACGCAGGGAGTTCACAGTGGCTCTGTGGAGGCCAGGCCTGATCTGTCAGCCTGGGGCCGGGGAGTGGGGGGGGGGAACGGCCTCCGCTCTCCAGCAGGGCCCAGCAGCAGCTAGTGGGGCATCCTCGGCTCCAGGCAAGTTGGGCAGCACAGGGGACTCTGCATCCCGAAGGGAAAATGGTGCAGGTGGAGAGAAAGGGGCCTTCCCCTGAGGTCTGAGGTGGACAGCAGGTCACACTGAACTCCTGCTCCAGGCTCGAGGGGAGAGCTTGACGAGCCAACTAGACACGCAGGTGACATGGGGGGATGCAGCCTTCAAGTCCGCCCCAGAGCTGCAATCCCGGGGGGGAGGGAGGTGCGGGGAGTAGCGGGTGACTCTGGCCCCTGGGGGATGAAACAAACACACTGTATTTACCACCCAGCACCAGAAGCCTCTAGATGCCTGGAGCTGGCACCCGAGGAAAGCGCCAACTCACCCTCTCGACAGAAAAACGGAGCTGCCTTTATCCCCCGCCTAGGACAGCAGCAGGCGTGTCCTGTCAGCGCGGTCAGAGCAGCTGAGGATGTCCCGAGCCGAGGGTCCGGGGGGGCGGCCGGGGCACATGTGCGTGGCCTGCGCTCTGGGCTGTCCGGGCCTGGGGGGGGGCTCCCGTGATAGCTGCCCACGTACATGCTAGTCCCGTGGGCTTACAGAGCGCAACGCCCTCTTTCCTTCTGGCTAAAGCAAGAGAAAAAGTGCTCTCCAAAGGCCGGGGGGGGGGCGGGGGGTGCTCCCCGCTCTCCCGCGTGAGAACCGCGCCGGCCGCCCCGCCCCCTCCCAGCTAGAGCAGCCGCTCAGGGGCCCGCAGGCCGCGGTACAGCGCGAAGCCCAGCGCGTCGATCTCCTCCGCGCGCAGGCCGCCGAAGAGGTTCACGCCGGGGTTGAAATGGTGCGGCAGGCTGGCCCGCTCCAGGCTGTGGACGAGCGCCTCCAGGGCCTGCAGGAAGCGCTGCCCCAGGGCCGCCTCGGCCCAGTCGGCCTCGGCCTCCCCCAGGCGCAGCACCACCTGGCTCAGGTGGCACCGGTCCAGCCGCGCCAGGGCCGGGTGGCCGCGGCACACCCCGCACAGCAGCCGCAGCAGCCGCCGGCGGGCCCCGGCGTCGCGCACATCCAAGGCCCGCAGCCTGGCGGCCTCCGCGGGGTACCAGTCCTGCAGCCACAGGCTCCCGGCCAGGCCCTCCAGGGGCCAGGCCAGGAGGACGGGATCTTCAGCGGCGGCGCCCGTGACGGCCAGCAGCACCGCGACCGTGAGCTCCAGGCACTCGTGCTGCACCTCGAGCAGCGGCTCCTCCGAGGCCACGCTGGGCCGGATCAGGCACCCGAGGAGGCCGCCGATGGCCGGCCAGTTGACGGAGGAGGCCAGGGCCTTGCGGAGCAGCTCCAGGGGGACGCGCGGAGACAGGTAGCCGCCCACCAGGAAGCGGTCCCAGGGGCTGCTCCCGCGGGGACGGAACTCCAGCTGAGTCCTGCGCACGGCCCAGCAGCGAGGGTCCCTGGCCACAGTGTCCAGCCCAGGCACCAGGTCCCACAGGCCCCCCTCGAGCGCCAGGGGAACGAGCAGGCGCACATGGTCGGCTGCCCCCGCCTGCAGCCCGTCGTAGAGCGGCCCGCTGGGCACCAGCGCCCCGAAGGGCAGTTCCGGGAACTTGTTCCGCAAGTAGGCCTGCAGCTGGAGGGCGATGTCAGCGGCCAGCTGCTTGGCCAGAGCCACCTGGGCCGCCGGGATGGTCACATGGTCCTGCTCGAACGCCAGCAGCTTCTCCTGGAACGTCAGGCACAGCGGTGCCGGGGAGCTAGGTGGCGGCGACATCTGAGGACCGGCGTCTGTGGGCCCCTCTGCAGAATGAACGGGTCAGGGACCATGTCAGAAGAACCCCCGTCAGGAGCCAAGAGAACTCTACCCAAGCTGCGCGACATCCTGGGCCTCCTTTCTTCTCAGCTGTACAAGGACCACCCGAGAGAGCGCTTCGCGCAAGTTGTCACATACAGTGAGCACGTGATGACAAATTCTCATTGCCCCAGATGCCCGGTGCCCTCAAACAGCCTCATGTACAGTGGGAAGGCAGGTTCTGGGCCCCAGTTTCCCCATCCGGGGCCCCTCACCGCCATAACACTTCTGCCACGCTCTGGGACCCCCCTCCAAGTCCGTGTCTCGGAGGCAGGAGCCTTGGCAGACCCAGGAAGTTAGCAGGGCAGAGAAACAGGTCCCTGTTGAACATGCCGGGAGGCCACCGTCTTGGAGGAGCAGGGACTTGCTTAGGTCACACGGTCAGTCAACGTAGAGCCTGGGTTCCAGCTCCCAAATGGGACCAGCAGAGGGGGACCCACCCAGGTCAGAGGGGAAGCGGTGCCACTCACCTGGGGAAGCCGGCGAGGGGCCGGGGAGTGACAGGGGCTGGCTGAGCGCAGCAGGTGGGGTCCGGGGCTGTTGACGTGGCGTGGCCTTGAGGAGACTCAGTTCCTTCCAGCTCTCCTCCAGGCATGTGCTGTCCCCCTTGGCATCATCCTCATCTCGAGGGCTGGTGGCCCTGTCGATGAGCTGCAGGCAGAGCGACACAGATCAGAGCATGTGAGGCCTGGGTGGCCATGCCAAAGGCAGGGACAACACCAAGCAGGTTGCTGGGGTAGAGAAGCCGGTGCCCACCTTGGGCAGTACACCCTGCCCCCGGCTACAGACCCAGCCCTGCTGTCCTCCTCTGGGAGCCCCAGGTGTAAGCGGCTCAGCCTGGCCTTACCCGCTTCACAGCCAGGGTAGCAATCCCCAGCACGGCGGCCCCGCCCACGCCCAGCACCAGGCGGGCATTGGCCAGGAGGAAGTCCATGGTGCCGCTCAGCACCTCATCACGCTGCTTCCCCCGCTTCTGGGAGAACTCTGCCATGGTCCGTCTGCCTGTAAGAGAGCCCATGGGGGGGGCGGTGCCTGGGTGGCTCAGTCATTAAGCGACTGTCTTCGGCTCGGGTCATGATCCCAGGGTCCTGGGATCAAGCCCCGCATCGGGCTCCCTGCTCTGTGGAAGCCTGCTTCTCCCTCAACCACTCCCCCTTCTTGTGTTCCCTCTCTCACCGTCTCTCTCTGTCAAATAAATAAAATAAAATCTTAAAAACAAAAAAGAGCCCATGGGTAGAGACAGGTCTGTGGGGGCGGCCAGGCGGCCAGGCTGCCCAGTGGGGCAGACCCCATCAGGCTGGGGCTGCCACGAGTAGAGCCCGTGACGGGCGTTCCTGGGAATTTCTCAGGAGAAGGGGTCTCTTGGTAGGAGATGGGGAGCTGCCCAAGCCCCCTCCCCCAAACCTGCAAACAGCTCACCCATGCCCTAGACAGGGGAGCTCCTGTAGAAAGGCCCTGAGACTTGTGGCAGGTCAGAAAAGGAGGCCCATCTTCTCCATCCCACCCTCAAGGACCCCGGGCATCCCCTAAGACCGTGAGGTGAGTCTTATCATTGCTACCCCCATTTTAGGGACCCAGACCCATGAGTGCAAAGCGTCCTGACTCTGGCCCACTCCCAGAGTCCAATCAGTCTCCTGGGGCCTGCAGCCAGCTCCTTGAGGCTGCTTCATCCTGCTTCCTAACCAGGGCTGGGCATGGGCAGGAGAAAGCCAAGGCCTAAAGAAGACACAGCCTGCCCTGGAGGGCCCCTCAAGCCTTTGAGAGGACTTCAGTGAAGCTCAGGGTGCCACAATTCCCCCCCAGATCTCAACAGTGTAGCCCCCCAGAGGGAAAGCAATCGAGTCAAAGGACAAGATGAGCGAGGTGGCCCAGGCCTCCCAGGGAGGCAAACGTCAGTCAAGGCTGAAGGCCTGGCTGTGGGGGCAGCAAGCAAGGTAACTCTAAAGACCCCAAAAGGGGTGCATGGCTGGCTCAGTCGGTGGAGCATGCGACTCTTGATCTCGGGGTTGTGAGTTCCAGCCCCACATTCAGTGTAGAGATTATTTAAAAATAAATAATAAAGGACCCTCCCCCCTTCCCCAAACAGAGAACTGGCCCAGTGCCTCTGGACAGGGGCCTCTCTGGGCCCCTCAGGTTTGGGACAATGGCAGGGGCAGTGGGGATAGGGGAGCAGCTGTCCTCAGAGACTGGAAGTCCAAGCAACAGAGAAGGGGTGAGGGCCCGAAGCTGTTTGTTCACCTGTAAAATGGCACAGCCGTGGAGAAGACGGGTTTACAAGTGGGGAGCCCAGAACTGTAAGGCTGGGTACGGCCGGGCGCTTGGAGAGGCAGAGATCTTTCCCAGGCCCAGGCCACCAAGCTCCAGGTTCAGGTTCTGCCCTCAGGCCCTGAGAGCTTAGCTGTGTGTGTGTGGGCGAGCTTGGGTGTGTGTGGGGGGTGTGTGTTTGTGTGTCTCCCAGATGCAAACTCAGGGAACCAGTCAGATACCAGGCAGAACTGTCTGTCTGCGGATGCCTGAGCAGATGACCTGAACAGATGACCACGGGCTCAGACTAGCTCAGGCACCAAGGACTTGTGCCCTCCCTGCTCTGCTGTGGGTGCCCAGGGCTCAGTTGCCAGGTGACAAGATGCCTAGAGCAGTTGAAGCCTGAATCACTGCGGGAGTCAGCCCCAACCCCCGCTCCCAATTTGCCCAGACTAAAAAGAGGACAAGACGACTCTGGGGCCTGGGTTGGTCAAAGGCTAGGGGGAGGGGGGGTGACCCACCAAGTCCCCGCAGCCACTTTTAGTTTCCTCAGCGCTGATCAATACTGCCAGCCATCTCCGGCGGGACCAAGAATCCACTTGCAAACTGTAAAGCACTTTAAATAACCTCCTGCCTAAACTGGACTCAGCCCAACCCCTGGCGGGGTCGCACAGGCCCCAAACCGAAGCCTTCCAACTCGGGGAAGGGCGAGAGGGCGCGCGGGTGGTTAAAAATAACCCGACTCAGCGCCCTGGGATGCCTCCCGTCCTTCCCCTCCTCCGCCACACCTGCTGCCCGCGGCCGGGGCTGAGCGGGCTGCGCAGCAACCCCTGGTGGGCCTGTGAGGGCCCGGTTCACGGGGAGGGCACCCAGGCCCCGAGAAATGCAGTGATGCGCCCAAGACGTGAAGCGGCGGGCTAGACATTCGAACTCCAGCCTGGGGCCCAAAGCCCTTCCCTCCTTCCCGGGCCTTGACCGCGGGCCCCGGCGGAGACCACGCCCCCGACCTGCGTCCGACGCACGCTCCGCGCCCGGGCCTGGGTGACCAGGGCCGCCCAGCCACACTCCGGCTGTACGTGCGTCGCGGCTTCAGCACAGCGACCGGAGGACACGGCGGGTCTGCTTGGGCCCCCGAGCCCAGACCCGCCTGGGAATGGAACTCGGAGGACCCGGGAACCGAACACCGAGGCCCCAGGGGTGGCCGCTGACCTCCGACGCACGCAGACAAGCTCCAATCGGAGCGCCCGAGGCCCCGCCCACGTCCCAAAATACTGAGCGGCTCAGCCAATGATGAGCAGGCCATGCCCCCTCGTCGGCAACCCGGTCCCTCAGGGGCGGGACTCTAGGACGCACTCCAGATTTAAAGGCGCAGGGCTGCATTCCGGACGGTGTCGGGGCGGTGACCGGGTTCAGAAGCGGGTTCCGAGGGCCGGTTGTGAAGGCGTGTGTGCTTGCGTGTGAGGCAGCGGTGTAGAGAAAGCTGCCTGGGCTTACATTGTTTCCGGGACCTGGCAAACAGGTGGTACCTGGCCCGAAGGCCCGCTTGCCTGACCTTTTACGTCACCCTGAGTGTGCCGTGGGGGCTTCGTTATTTTATCTGTTGGCACGCCGGGCACACAGCGTGACTCAGGAGGCCACCCCTGCCATCTGCTCCGTGTGACCGTTTGCGGGCCACTTCTCCATTCTGGCCTCAGTTTTCTCTCCTATGAAATGGGTATCACAAGGCCCCCTCCCCTACGAAGGATGATTGTGCATATAATCTGTGGCTCACTTGGCATTTATTTATTGGGGACCTACTATGTGCCGGCTGGTGGGGGAGCAAGGAAATAAGCAGAGACAAGGGTGGATGTTGACTTTAAGCGGGAATAATAATAACGTGCCACTTATTGAGCGCCTGCTGTATGCTGCGACTTACACTTGCGTTTGTTTCTGGCGACAACCTTAGGAAGCATTTCACAAACGAGGAAACTGAGGCCAGGAGCAGACCTGGGGTTTTCCCAGAGCCCCAGGACCCAAGGACCCAGGCATCCTGCTACCATTGGTCGCCATGCAGCGCCCAGTGAGGGGATAGAGACTCCCGGGTCCGTGCGCCCCCAGGCCTCGGCCCATAATCTCTCCAGAGGTCATGGCCATTGCTGCAGCAGCCCAGGGGACAGTGCTTGGACCTGCAGGGTCTGTGATACACCCCCCCACCATAGGTCGCTGGAACTTAGCCCACGAAGGCTTCGGAAGCACGGGGGGGCCCGGACTTTTCGAGGCCCCTCCGGTCAGCGAACAGACGGGGAAACTGAGGCCCAGGGAGTCCCAAGGCGCCCGACGGGCCCGGCGCTTCCCCGCGGCGCGCGGGTGGGCGGGCTGGCTAGGGGCGCGGCCCGGGCTCCGCCTGCCCGCCGGCCCGGGCGGGGGCGGGTTAAAGGGGCGGAGCCAGAGTTGGCCCAGCCTGCGGCTCACCCCGCCGCCCCCTGCGCCCGGCCCGGCCCGGCAGCGAGAGCGGCGCCATGGAGGCCACCGGGGTGCTGCCGTTCGTGCGCGGTGTGGACCTCAGCGGCAACGACTTCAAGGTGAGCCGGCCGGGCGTGGGGCCGACCTCCCTCCAGGCCGTCTCTTCCGCTCGGGCCCGCGCCGGTCTCCGCTTCCTGTCCCGCCCGCCTCCCGGCCCTGTGCCGCCCGGGACCGCGCGGATGACGCAGGGTGGGGCTCCCCCCGGCGCTCGCGACCCCGCCCGGAACGGACCCCGGGGCCTCCGCTCGGCCCGCACGGGAGGCCCAGGACTGGCCGGGGCCGGGCGGACACTGGAACGCCGAGTCACGCCAGGAAGTGGGCTGGGCTGGGGGCCCCCACCCCGTGTCCCAGTCCGGGGGTCTGGGCCCCCGCCCGGGCCGGAGAGGGGCCTGGGGGTCTGTGAGCTTCTGCTCCCGCCTCCCCGGCCCTCGGTCCCCGCCCCTCTGAGGTCACACGCCCAAGCCAGGCCCTGACTAATGGCCGGCTTTGCTACCGGGCTGTCGGGGGCGGGTCCCGAGCGCACTGATCACTGCCCTGTCCCTGCCACCGCCACCCCATCCTGTGTGGTCTTGGGCAAGTCACTTCCCCTCTCAGAGCCTGGGTTTTCTCATCCGACGAAGGGGCAATCAAGTAGCCGTCTTGGGGAGGTGGATTAGTTGGTGTGGAGACACTCAGGCAGGTGTGAGGCCTTGGGTGGGGGCAGTGAGGACTGATAGACTAGGGCCAAAAGGAGCTGGAGCGCCGCCTTCCAGCCAGCTGGTCGGAGAGGCGGTTCTAGAGGCTCAGGAATGAGGTGGGCAGTACTGGTGACCAGAGGAGGCTGGTCAGGAGTGGAAATGAGAGCTGGCCCAGCACAGGGAGGGTCACCCTGGGTGGCAGGGCGGGTAAGTGAGTGGACTCAGGCTGGAGTGAGTGTTGTGTCAGCCTGGGTCTGCAGGGGGTGGGGGGCCCAGGCTTTCCCTGGGGTTGGGTTGGGCCACTGCTGAGGAGGCGAGCGGGGCCTTGCTGCATTTACCCACATGTGCACACACCACTTTCCTCTGCCCCCATCCCCACCATCCTCACCTGGGGTCTCATTGATCTCTCCAGACTAGGAGAGTCTGAGTCACCAGCCGGGAATGTGGCTGTAGGGGGCTGGGGACACCAGGCAGGGGCCCTGAAGGCACATGCTGCCTCAGACTGCCTGCCCTAAAGTGTTCCCGAAGGCGTGAACAAGGCTGTGCCTCTGCGGATGGGGACCTGGGGCCTTACACAGGGGGTTGGACCTTGCCAAGAGCGGCTTGTATGCTGATGGCCGGGTGGGGGCATAGGCGGGGCTTTGGTGGAGGCTCAGGGGTACCCCCATCTCTGGCAGCCTAGCGAGGGCCTGGAATGACGGGCAGAGGAATTTGAGCCGAGCTAACTGCACTGGGGACAAGCCAGTTCCATCGTGGCCTGCTCAGGGCTCAGAATCCAACAAGAGATTTTAGGCCAACAGCCACCGTGATTATTAGTCTGTCCTTTTGTCATGGGGGGCTTTTAAACTGTTCCATTGAGAAGTTGAGGCACAGAGTGGCGAGGTGACCTGTCCAGGATTGCACAGCTGGTGAGAGGTGCCTCCGTTGCTCTCCAAAGGCTCCCATGGGCGTGGGGGCCACCGAGGGTGGTAGAGCAGGGGGCACCCCTGGCCCAGACCAGTCTCACCATGACCGCCCCCCCCCCCCCCCGCCCAGGGCGGCTACTTCCCTGAGAATGTCAAGGCCATGACCAGTCTGCGCTGGCTGAAGCTGAACCGCACGGGCCTCTGCTACCTGCCAGAGGAGTTGGCCGCCCTGCAGAAGCTGGTAAGAGGCTTTGGGCAGTCACCGAGGGTCCCTGTGGATGGGGCTGGGCCAGGCAGGCAGAGCCGGTGCAGAATGGAAGATGCTGACAGCCATGAACAGAGCCGGCAGGGAGGGAGTGAGCACCCTGTCCCAGGAGGTGTGCAAGTAAAGATGGGCTGTGTGAGGGAGGGAGGCTGCAAGAGGTGGCCTGAGCCTGTGTGGCTGAGGGCCCCCTGGATGGTGCAAGGTTTTGGTGGCGGATGGGGACTCTGTAGGCGCCCTACCCACACTGCTGAGCCTCTGCTGCCTTGTTCTGGCCCAGGAGCACTTGTCCGTGAGCCACAACAACCTGACCACGCTTCACGGGGAGCTGTCCAGCCTGCCGTCTCTGCGGGTGAGTGCTGCTACAGGCCGTGGAGCTCGGGGGTGGGGGCCGGAGCCCAGCCAGTGCACTGAGGGCAGGGCCAGCCCCCAGGGGGACCAGCACCGCTGCCTGTCCGGTGTCAGACTCAGAGGCCTGTTCCTAAAGGGGAAGGGTTACCATAATGCCCTGCGGTCGGTACCACATGGGGAGAAAAAATAAAAAACCCAAACTCCCACCCATTTTTAGACAAGTACCGTAAAAACACCTGATACCAGCCAAGCACTGTTGCAACTTTTCCTCGTGGATTTTTCCATATAATCCTGACCCTCACCAAGTTCACAGATGAACACACAGAGAGCCAAGTCACTTGCCCACAGTCACTTGCCTGAGGCTGAAGTCAACGTGGCCAGGCAGTGGGAAAATGGGTTTGGCCCTGAAGAAAGGTGGTCAGGGTGGTCCTGTCGCCCCTCTGCTCTCCACGGAGCCTCTGACATCCCAGAACTTCAGGCCCCTATCTAGACCCTCAGTGAGGGTTGTTCCCATCCAAGGCCAGATATTAAGAGCACAGCATCTGGACCTGGGCGGCCTGAGTTCAGATCTGGGCCCCACCGCTTCCTGGCTGCACGACCTTGGACAAGTCCCTTCCACATTCTGGGGAGGGTTCAGCGGGTGACAGCTGCGAAGCCACAGTGTGGCCCTGCACAGACACTAGGGCTGAAGGAAAGGTGGCAGCAGCCCTGTTGGTGCTCGTAGTCGTGGCACCATCCTTTGGCCTGTCCTCTCTCCCCCTCAGACCTTCTGAGGTTTCAGCCCTGAGAGGATAGAAAACAGACTTGCTCTCAGTCCTCACTCTGAGTTTGCTCTGGTCCAGCCCTCTCTCTCTGTCCTAGAAACTCTACCTCAGAGCTTCCCCCTTATCTTGCCCTCTGGAATGGGGACGTTCTTCCTCGGGTTCCCTGAGGACCCCGTGCTGGGCTCTGGGGCACATATGAGCTGGGCTTTGAGGTGTGAATAGGAGCTCATCAGGAGGCCAGGAAGAGCTCACCAGGTGAAGGGACTGTGAGCAAAGGCCAGGCTAGGACAGCACTTGGGCCCCTGGTGGGTTTCCCAAGGCGCTGTCCTTCCCTGATCTCTGCTGGTTCCTGGGGGTAGAAGCTGGAAATCATGGACTCTTCATGGTTTCTCCCCAGGCCATCGTGGCTCGAGCCAACAGCCTGAAGAATTCCGGAGTCCCTGATGACATCTTCAAGCTGGATGACCTCTCAGTTCTGGTCAGTGGTTCCCCACCCACCTGGCCTCTGTGCTGGCCCCCCAGTCAGTCCTCATCTATTAACGTGGTCCCTGCAGCCACTGGTAAACAAGACGGAGAAACTGAGGCGCAGAGTGCCTTATCTGAGCTCACTCATGGCGTCAGAGCCCTAACTTAGGCACGCTATCTCACAGGGTCCCAA